TCCTTCCTCCTCCTCCTCCTCCCTCCTCCTCCTCCTCCTCCTCCTCCTCCTCCTCCTCCTCCTCGGTCCTCCTCCTCCTCCTCCTCGTCCTCCTCCTCCTCCTCCTTCTTCATCCGTCCTCGGGCCCTGGAAGCGACCATCCTTCCCGGCCGCCGCCGGTCTCGTCCTGGACAGACTCCTACCGGCCCCCCGACCCGCCACGGACTCCCGGACACGGAACGCGAGCGACGCAAAAGAAAACGGGGTCATGAGAGGCTCCCGCGAGTTTCGGGAAGGAGAAGGTCTCCTGAGAAGGCGGCGGGACTTCTCAGAAGCCCTTGTGCCCTCTGAGAAGTTTTCCGTGTCCTCGGGGAAGGCTCTGAAAATTTCTCCGAAGGCCGGAGGACTTCTGGGCCTTCTGAGAAGGCTCGCCCCTTCTCATTTGAGCGACGCAAGAAAAAACGGAGTCTTCTGCGCCGACAGTCGCGCGCGAGTTTCCCACGTGAGGTCGCGCGTGAGCGCCCTCGTCTCCAACTCAGCGTGCCGCGCTGGCGGCCCGCGTGAGCCGCGGCGCCAGGTCGCTCTGCCATCTCGCGTGAGACTCCTTCTTCATCGTCGCTCACGCGGCGACCCAGCCCGCCCCCTCCCGCACTTCTTCCCCTCCTGCCCCCCCCCCTTCCCTGCCGCCGCTGCCCTCCCCCTGCCCCCGGTGGCCCTCGGCGGCCCCTCCTCGCAGGAGGCGGCCCCCCCTAGGCGGCCCCTCGGTGGCCCCCCAGTGGCCTCCCGCAGGAAGCGGCCCATTGGCTGGTCGCCGGACCCCCCCGCCGAGCTGGTCGAGCCCGGCTACGGCCCGGAGCCCTCGTCCCCGAGCCGCGGCGGTGCGCGGAGGCGATCGCCGCGGAGGCCGCCGCGCGCCGTCGCCCGTGCCGAACAGGGCAGGGAACGGAGGCAAGTGTTTTTTGGTTTGTTTGTTTTGTTTTTTGTTTTTTCGTTGTTTTGCCGATCGGCGCGGGCCCTCGTACCCCCCCTCCCCCCACCCCCCATGGAGTGGATCTTGGCTGCTTTGTTGGCGCCCGTTTCGAGCGGGTGGAGCCCCTCCCGGAGGCAGCACTCTTGCAAACAGCCGCACTGAGCAGAGGTCTGGAGCCAGACCCCCCCCTCCCCCCCCTTCCGCCCAATGTCGAAACGCCGAATAAAAAAACGCTCACCAACGGTGGTGGTGGTGGTGGTGGTGGTGGTGAGGAGGAGGAGGGGGAGGAGGAGGAGGAGGAGGAGGAGGAGGCGGAGGCGGATGCGGATGTGAGAGTCCCATGAGTTGCCACCTGAGTATCGGTACCTTTTTGCATCCTCAGGGGTGGATCCGATTCGATTTTGATTCGGCTTTCTGTCGCAGTCTTTCTCCTCGCCCCAGGGCCTGCCGCGGGGGCTGCAGGAGAGGGCCGCAACGGAGCGGACCCGATCGGGATCGGTTTTCTTCCGGAGTCTTGGACTCGCATTAGTTGCGGCCGACGACCGACGACGACGCCGACGACGGACGCCGACGACGACGCCGACGCCGACGACGGACGCCGACGCCGCCGCCGCCGTCGACGACGACGACGACGACGACGATGACGACGACGCGCGGCATGCGGCGCGGGCCTGGCTCGGCGGCCCCAGCGCGAGGCGCGAGGGCCGCGCGAGGCGCGCACCGCGGAGCGGAGCCGATTCGCTTGTCTGTCGCAGTCTCTCTCCTCCGCGCGGCGGAGCGGAATTGGCTACGTCGCCGTCGCCGTCGTCGTCGTCGTCGCCGTCGTCGTCCTCGTCGTCGTCGCCGTCGTCGTCGTCGTCATCGCCATCGTCGTCGTCGTCGTCGTCGTCCTCGTCGCCGTCGTCGTCGTCGTCGTCGTCGTCGTCGACGTCGTCGTCGTCGTCGTCGTCGTCGTCCTCTCGTCGTCGTCGTCGTCGTCGTCGTTCCGAGTCTGCGTCTCCGTGCCCCCTCCGCGCCCAGGAGGAGGAGGAGGAGGAGGAGGAGGATGAGAGGGAGGGAGGAGGAGGAGGAGGAGGAAGAGGAGGAGGAGGAGGAGAAGGAGGAGGAGGAGGATGAGGAGGCCCCAGCGGCCGGCGGCAGGGGCCGCCGGCGGGCCGCGGCGGCGAGGGCCGGCGGCGGCAGGGGCGCGGCGGAGAAGGGCGCGGAGGCGTGCGGGCGCCGGAGGGGCCCCGCGCGGGCGCGGGGCGGCGCGGCCGCGGGGCCCGCGGAGGCGGCGTGCTCCGACGCGGAGGGGGAGAAGGCGCTCCTCCTCCTCCTCGTCCCCATGCCTGGTCCTTCCTCCCCCCCTTCTCCTCCTCCACTCCATCCTCCTCCTCCTCCTCCCTACTCCTCCCTCCTCCTCCTCCTCATCCTCATCCTCATCCTCCTCCTCCTCCTCCTCCTCCTCCCAGATGGGCTCCGAGCAGACGGGGTCGGAGGACCGCGTCGTATCGCCGACGCGTCGGCGATGCGGCTCGACGTGGGGCCCGTGTTGCCCCACGCTGGCGTCGCCGATGCATCGCCGACGTCGCCGATGCATCGCCGCTGCATCGCCGATGCATCGCCGATGGATCGGCGATGGATTGGCGATGCGGCGCGATCCTTCGACCCCACCTACTCGGACCCCATCCAGGAGGCCTCTAAAGCAACATGATACAAGCTCAACAAATGATCGTTTTTTTATTCACTGTCTTGCCGATCGGCGCGGGCCCTCGCCCCCCCCCTCCCCCCAACCCCCATGGAGTAGATCTTGGCTGGTTTTGGACGCCCGTTTCGAGCAGGTGTTTTCTCCCCCATAGGACGCACTATTACAAACAGCCGCACTAAGCAGAGGTCTGGAGCCAGACCCCCCCTCCCCCGCCTTCCGCCCAATGTCGAAACGCCGAATAAAAACACGTTCACATACAAGCTCAACAAGGATTTGTATCATCACACGTCTGGGAACCGACAGACGTGAAGCGGACGACAGGGAAGTCGACGTCCAGCGCGCGGCATCCAGAGCCGTTTAGGCTCAAGGCTCTAAACCGCATAAGGTTGCTCCCAGGTTCGGCAAGCTCTGGAGAGCCTCGCAGCAGAGTTGAAAAAACATCCCTTTCATATCTTGTAGAATCAGAGCGCTATACACCAAACCACCCAAACCCAACCCGAAGGCCCCAATTTGCCCTTCGTTCCCAGTGGCGGGGAGCCCCAGAACACCATGACAAGACACAGACGGAACCCGTGCGAGCCCGAACTTCTGGACCTCGGGTCGGGTTGGGGTGGTCTGGTAGGCAGGCAAAACGGCACGAGCTCTGCGGCCACATGTGAGCCCCGGGGGGGCACCTCGAGAGAGGGGGGGGGGGGGACGGGCGGGCCGAGCGCGGACGGCAGGGCTCGAGGCTCGGGGTCTCCGGACGCTCTCGTCGGTCCCTGGACGTTCTCGAACGGCCTCCAGGGACGGAGAGCAGAGTCAGCACCCGACAGCCACGGGGCAGCGACGGAGGGGGGCCGAGTGCAGGGAGGGGGGATGCACGGACCCCCCGTCCACGGATCGCCGACGAGGGGGCCCGAGGGCTCCCCCCGCCCAGGGCCGTGCGGTGTGGCTGTCGGGGGCCCCTCGCCGATCCATCGGCAGCGCATCGCCGAGTCCAGGTCGGTGTCCGCCGCCCCCACCCCCCGAGCTGGTCCCCGTCTCAACGTTGCCCCTCAAGAGCAGCATCACCCATGCGTGCCCGTCGGTCGTTGAGGGTAGGTTTTTTGTCGGACTCCCAGATTCCAGTCGGCTTTGAGAGCGCCGTCCTGCTTCAACGATCGAGTGGCGCCACCTTTGCTTCCGTCCTCCTCAGGGGGGCGGGGCGGAGGCGAAATATACTTTCAGCGCCCTCCTGCTGCATGTTTCTGCCTTTCTCTTCCGACCGATGGGTACTTCTGCCACGTGTGCGGCGGCTCCCCAGGGAGCGATGCGCGCCTGCTCAGAACTCGCCCAGCGCAAGCGCGGTGGCTGGCGCTGCCTTGCCGTCCCGTCCAGGGTCACGTTCCGTACTGCCAGATGCTTGTGCCATGCGTTCGGGTCGGACGTGCGCCTCCAACGGGGGGGGCGACGACGGTGGAGACCCCTGCCAAGAGACGCTCTGCTTGCCTCCAGGGTGCCCTGGGTTTCCCAGGCTTCGATGGTCTTGCCTTGGAAATCGTGACGTCCCCGCGCCAGAAATCAATGGGCGTCCTGGGGCATCAGGGTCGGGCTTCTTGTGGAAGGTTTCTTGTGGACTGGCCTGAACTGTAGTACTGGCAGGTCCTTCTGCGTCCCCCAAAAAGCATAAAAAGGTCTGCGACCACCTGCGAGCCCAAACGCTGCGGGTCCAGTCGACGCCGGAGATTCATTATAGGACGCCTCCGCTGGGGTTCACACATGGCTGCAGGGGTCCCTCGGATCCTGAGCCCCGGCCAGGCTTTCAGACGTCTGCCCTTTCAGCGGTCGTCGAAGAAGAAAAAGCCCATAAACATAAATTTGGCGCTCCGCGCGGATTTCTTGGATCCGTGCTGGGACCCCTGGCGCGCGCTCCGCGCGCCAGGGATGGGGGTGGTCCAGCGCAGACCCAAGGAGTCCGCGCGGAGCGCCACGAGTTCGTGCTTCTGGCGTCTGTTCTTCTTCTAGGTAGGGCTCACAGGCGGTCGCCTACGCGCAGACAACTTTCCGTCGGTCCGCGCGGTCATCGCTGGGATTCGCCGCCCACCAAACCACCCCAACCCAGCCCGAAGGTCCCGATTTGCCCTCCGTTTCCAGCGGGTCGGGGGTCGGGGAACATGGGAAAAACACATCTGAAGCCCGTACTAGTAGTAGTAGTAGTAGTAGTAGTAGTAGTAGTAGTAGTAGTAGTAGTAGTAGTAGTAGTAGTAGTAGTAGTCGTAGTCGTAGTAATAGTAATAGTAGTAGTAGTAGTAGTAGTAGTAGTAGTAGTAGTAGTAGTAGTAGTAGTAGTAGTAGTAGTGGTAGTAGTAGTAGTAGTAGTAGTAGTAGTAGTAGTAGTAGTAG